TAAATTCAAGTTCACATGTGCATGTTCAGAATGTAAGAATAAAAACCAAAAAGTATTTTTGGACATGAAAAAAAAATCAGTTTGCAATGCAGCAAGGGTAAAATATGCCAAAAAGTAATGAGTTTTATAACAAATAATGAAAGCTAAAGGTAAACTTGAGATAGCAAAGCAGAACCAACTTTAAACAAACAAAGTAATTACATAAAAGATAACTGGGTATACAGTCCTGAGACAAAAATGTAAGGAAAAACAGATCTATGGCAAGGACAAGCTGTTGCTAGCCTGAGAGAAAAGGGATGTTTGCATTAATTTTGTATGAGGATAAAGATAAATCCCTAAAAGCAAACCAGAGGATGTGTATGTTAAGGATGTATCCCTACTTCAAGCAGAAATGGAAGAAGGAATTTGTGTGTAGCTCCACTGGATGACAGATACTATCAATAAAACAAGCTGAAGTCAAATTAGCCATGAAATTTTATGTATACCACTACTAATTTACAAATTCATTTTAACTCTTACACCAGCAGGCTCTTAAAGAAATAAGTATCCCAAGCAATAAAAAGGAAACAAAGATGGCTTCCCCTCAAAGAGAAAAGACTGGGCTCATCAAAGACCACTGGCTACTGGCACAAGTCTCAAGGTCAGCAGGGATTTACCGTAGTTAAACAAATTGCAAATAGCAAAAAAACCACCACCACAAAACCAAACAAACCTCGATATCCTGCATAGAACAAACCCCAAAACTTACATATTTTAGTCTTTCTTGAGGTATAAAAGAGGGTTTTAATGAAATGGAATACGAATACTTACTTTAGGAAAAGGAAATGTTGCAAGATGAAAACTTGCTTTTCTTCTTCTGTATTGGGAACTTAGAACTTCTGAACTAAGAACTAAGCAGGAGCATCCTGCTACTGATGCTATTTGCACTTGTGAACCATCTGATGGTGCATTTAGGTAAAACTTTTTTACCAAAGGCTAGCTTCTAACATACATATGATTTTAATAGAGGAAGGGATAAATAGGATGACTAATTAAGTGAAGGCTTAGAAAAGATACTTGGAGCAATGAAATGATAAAACACACATGGAAAACAAACTATTCACTTTACACAAAGGTCTTCTTTGCAAAGTACTTTTATCTGTCATAAGATACTTGTGAGGTAGAACTTACCTCCAACAAGGACCTAAAACATGTCTAACAGTTATGCATCATGATAAAGGTGATATGGAGAGGTGGAGGCTCCTTTTTATTTATGAGGCAGTCACACCCAGAGCTCCCAGGCTGCTGGACAGAGGTGTGTCCAGGCACCATAATACTTGTGGCAAGTATTCTGAATTCAGTTTGGCAGAGTGAAGAATTATGCCCTTCTTGTTAGCTGTTCAGTTACTAGAATATGAAGTGCTAATCCACCACCTACATTGAAAATGTGAAATAGAATACAAGGCATACTATACCATCTGACTCATAGCATACTTGAGGTTGGAAGGGACCTCTGGACCGTCCAATGCCTCTGCTCAAAGCAGAGTCAACTACAGCAAGTTGCTCAGGATTGTGTCCAGTCAGGTTTTGTGCACCTCCAAAGATATGGAGATGCACAGTGGCTCAGGGCTGCCTGTTCCAGTATTCACAGTATCACAGTATGCTAGAGATTGGAAGGGACCTCGAAAGACCATCTAGTCCAATCCGCCTGCCAGAGCAGGAACACCTAATGTTACACAGGAATGTAATCACCCTTACAGTAAAAAAGCATTATGTTTAAATGGAATTGCCCATTGACTCCTGTCCTTCCATTGTGCACCACTGAGAAGAGAGCCTGACTCCATCCCCACTCTTTTCTGCCCACATATTTACACTCATTACTGAAATCCACCCCAGCCTTCTCAGTGCTAAAAATCCCAGCTCTCCCAGCCTCTCCTTGTATGACTGATGCTGCAATCACCTCTAACTGCCAAACTGTAGACAGGACAGGGAAAAATTGTCAGTGATACAGACTCTGTTCTTGCATTACACAGCACAGAAGTTCATCAGTTGGAAAGACTGAGACTAGTCACATATAGATGACGAGGCCTAAAAAACTCCTTGTGCGTGTACACATACACGTCACTACACAGAAAGAAAGTAGATGTGACTCACAATAATTATTGCACTTATTTTGTTAAAGCTATCACACTCAATCTTGTACAAATTCAGTATATTTTTGCTATCTAGGAAATTGTCACTTAAAAAAAAAAAATCAACTTTAAGCCATTGAGATTTTTTTGATACAAGCTGAGCCTTACCAAGTTAAGCTTCACCTGTACTTAATGGATACTTAGAATGACACTTAGTATGACTTTAAATCCTTCAAGCTACTAGGAAATAACTAGTTCTCAACTCAAATTTGGGCTGCAGGGAATTAGCACAGGACACAGCTACATTCACTAAAAATCCGTTCAAAATAAAAATAAAATAAGAGACATGTTGAATAGTCCTGTCAATTATCAAGATTTTTGAACATTTTTGTAGCTCATATTCACCAGACTTGAAGCACAACATGGCATTAGGGTATCTTACCTGCCTGGTTCTTAACAGTCATAATCCCATAAAGGTTTTGAAGATAATTGTCTATAAATATTATATACAGAACACCAAGGAGAGAAGAATGCAGGCTGCATTTTCAGGATGAAGTATTACACAATCTGACTTCCTGCTCCAGGACAATAACCTCATCTCTTGAATTTCTCAAAACTCAGATGTCAAAACTAGATACAGTGAACTACTGGTTATCTCAGAGCCACAACAAGCAGCAAGATCAGTCCTGAAATATAAGATGTAGGAAGCAGCAAGTAAGGTTTTTGTAATTTTCAGGCCAATGATGTAGTAACAAATGTTAAAATGAAATAAACCTAAGGATGCATTACTAAAGGAACACTGAAGGTATAGCAGGGAGCAGATATTCCTAGAAAGAAGCCACAATAATACTGGAGTGGCTGGAAAACTACACAATCTCAATGAAAACAAAGTTTAAGAGATGATGACTTGATTAGTATGTGTATCTACTTTATACTTTGGAAGTGAAGGGTGCAGGTGTTAGAATCACAAACAAGATGGAGGTCAAAAGTTACACATTCAGTTTTTAGATCAGCAATTTCCTGAAAACTAAGCAACAGACCACACTTGATACAGATTCATCATAAGCAATATGATGTTTGGGTTCTTATACCAGCTTGTGAAAGAAGGAAAGTGCATATATGCTATATAAGTGTTTAAGACAGAGGATGAAGTGGAAAAACTTCCTTTTTTATATAAAGGTGGAAAAAGATTAAATTGACCAGCTTCTGGCTCTCAAAATTGTGAAGTCCTGCTCCCACATCAGGACATGCTACAATCCATAGTGGTAATGTACTCGTGGAGGGACAGTTCAGACAATCTGAACCAACAGCTCTGGGAGAAAGTAAGCTCACAAGGACTGATGACAGAAGGATGCCAGAGGGACTCTTCATCAGGGACTGCAGTGATAGGACAAGATGTAATAGGTTTAAACTTAAACTGGGGAAGTTCACATTAGAGGTAAGGAAGAAGTTCTTTACTGTAAGGGTGGTGAGGCACTGGAATGGGTTGCCCAGGGAAGTTGGGAATGCTTCATCCATGGCGGTGTTCAAGGCCAGGTTGGACAGAGCCTTGGGTGGTGTCCCTGCCCATGGGAAGGGGAGTTGGAACTAGATGATCTTAAGGTCCTTTAACTCTAAACATTCTATGATTCTATGATGATTCTATGACATCACCTTCAGTACTGGCATCAGATCATCCTGCATGCCAGAAAAAACTATCCTAAAAGAAAGCACAAGGATCCTCCAATTGGCATCTCCTCTCTGCAAACCAGATCTCTCACTTTGAGGTGTGGTGTAACTTTTACAGCTGCAATTCATGTGAATTATGAGATTTGCTGGATGGGGGGGGGGGGGAAATGTATTTTATTTGATCCATCCAGAATACAAGTTCTATGTAGCCATTTTTGAGAGACAATAACTCCTCCACAGGATGGAGATAAAGAAGGACAGAGATATTGCAAATTAACAGTTATGTCTTGTTTTTGAAGTTTACGCCTACATTTCAATAGATCTTTCCTTAACAGAAAAAAACACAAAACAGAAAAGAAATCAAGAGGTTTTATATTAAAATTATGCCCTTATTTTTAACACTTGAGGTCATAATTATTCAGACAGGAAAGCAGTGGTATTAAAAATACCACTTATTGGAGAATAGTAACATTACTTGAAACATCATCATTGAGGGCTTAGGCTACAAACATCTTATAGCAGACTAAAACCTAGCTTTTCCTATTAGGAGATTTGCTGCTTTGTTCTCTTAAAAGCTAAGATTTTATTTGAACACTTCAAAAATCCATAACAAACTCCTTTGCAACACAAACACCACTGGGCAATCATTACCACAATGCATAATAACCTTAAATAAGGAAAATTTACATTTTACTCAAGACTGTCCATCACTATGTAGCTTCTAGAAGGGCCATAACCCCTTAAATAGATTTTAGGTTTGATATTTCAACCAGTACAGGAAGAAACAAAACAATTTAGATAGCATCTAAACCATATTTTAGGAAAAGAATAAGGAATTACAAACAAATTCAAGAGATGCTTTAAAGAAGCACCAAAAAAGATAATATATTGCCCCTACATGCAAAGCCAAGTCATTTCTGGGTGTTCCAAGAGAAGTTCTGAATACTTTTTTCTCCAAAAGTATTTATTGATTTTATTTTGACTTGGGTAATCAGCTTAATAAGACTGGTTAAAGATTAAAGCATTCTAAGTCATAGAGGGCACTGGTTTCTGCACAGGCTCCAATAATGTGAAATATCCACTGTACCACAGAAGAACAGTTTTAATCAATTTATTAGTACAGCCACCAAAAAAAAAAAACAGAATACCGTAAGATAACGAAGTTTTAGTCTTTTTTTTTTTTTTTTTTTTTAAAACATTCCCTTGAAGAAAAAAAATTACCTCTACACAAAAGATCTTAAGATCAAGTCCACGCAATTTCATCTTCTCTGGAAAATGCTGGAAAACATTCAAATATGGAATATGACCTTCAACAACAAACCTGCATTAAAAAAAAAAAAATCAAAACAAAACATATTCAATATTTAGTATGATAAATGCACACATTTATTCTAAAATTAATATACAAATCAACTTCTGATTTGAAGTAACATGGGTATTATATTGCCTAAGCAACTCGATCTGAAGCAACACACCCCTAAATGTTCTGTCAGACAAAAACCAGCTCAATCATTTAACAGGCCTTTAAGTTCAAGCTTGGATATGATTGATAAACGGTAATGTTATGGCAGAAAGCTTACAATCAACATGCTTACATGGAGTTTCTTCTGCACATTCTTCAGCCACTGCATTTCTGAAACTGCCTTAAGCCTTCTCTGAATGGCATAGATTTTATTTTTTTTTTTCAAAATTCTAAAGCTTTAAGTAAATTTTACTTTTCAGACATACACTTTCTGCTGGAGCAGCTCCAGTTGGGTAATGTTGCAGGGAGGAAAGTCACAGAAAGATGAGCAGATATGCAGAAATGAAACCCCATTAATTACATCTGTATTCTAATTTTTTAAAAGTATTTTGCAATGAATAGAAAGTATTTTGTATACTAACAAATACAAAATAATTATATTTTATTTGCATCTATATAATGCAATTTTCTGTTAAAAACAGGCTTTGGTAAAGTTGTTGACAGTAGTATTTGGGATTTTTCTTGACTTTTTCATATATATATATATATATATATATATATATATATATATATATATATATATATATATGAAGATTTAACAATAGGTACCAGTAAAAAGCCACCACCACACCAAACCCCTGATTTTAGTCGACGTTATCTAGTCTCTTAGCTAACATTCACACCAGGCAAAGCAAGCACTGAACATCCATGAATTCTCACAAGGGAATCAATGCTACCCTCATTCCAGATTAAGGCAGACTAATGGTCTCCCATAGAACTAAACTAGAACTGCCTCCTGTCTCTTCTCCAAGTCAATTTTGTTAAAAGAGGATATTAAACTTCAGTAAGTTAACATTTCAAACAGAGAAGATCCTGTGCTTTAAATGGTATTAGAGATCTGAAAACTATTTTCTCTCCTGCTAGCTGTGTTATCTGTGCATTATCTCTCTGATCTTGCTACAGAGACCATTAACTTCTTGGGTCTATAAAATCTGCAAGTCTCTTCTGGGTCCCTACAGTAGTTGTAAGGCTAGGTTCTGCAACTCCTCCCAGTGCAGGGCAGTACCTAGCCACTTCAATTGCTAGCTTGATCCAATCCCACACACTGAAACTCCAGGTTTCATAAAGCACAGCAATCTGCCACTTCCATTCAAAATCAATCTGGAGGGACCCCCCCCCCCCCCCCCCCCCCCAAAAAAAAAAAAGCACCACAAAGAACATAAGGCAGAACAGTATCTTCACAGACAGAGCAGCCACTCTTGAGGATTCACCTCCCTCCCAAGCCAACAGCAATTCACAGGCTCACCTTCCCTCTTCCAACGTAGTGCCCTCACCATCACTTGTTGCATGTTATGTTGCATGTTATGTTGCGTGTCTACTTGAAGTTGACTAAAATTGTATTAAAAGGCTGAAAAGCTTACAATTACATCCTATTTTTTCAAACATTAACTGAATTTTCAGTTTAATTAGAAAATAGAATTCAAAACAGATTAAAATGAAAAGTGCATTTCTTAACCAAAACTCTCTTGGTTAGAATTAACACATCATTTATAATGATTTCTGAAAAACAACAGCACTCTGAAAAATCATGTTGCCTGATAAATTTATTCTGAAGCTCTACGTGTTGGTTTCTTAAATGAAGTGGTAAAAGTCATTGCACAATCCTTTCTAATCATGTGGTTTAACAAAATTTCAGTAGCTTTTCTCAACCAGGGTAAATAGCATTTCCCAACCCCTAGTAGAGATGTGCACTGGTCCACACACTCGGTGCGGTTATCACGCAAACCCAGCACTGGTTGCTTGTCCTTGCCATCCCACCCGATCTGCCACGCAGCTTGCATGTCAGTTTCTTAACTCATTTTAGTCAAGGTGATCTGCACTAAATTGAAGAACTTCAACTTGAGGTATGGTTTCACAAAATGCCCTGAGCCATCCTAACAGCTCAACATAACTAGTAGTACTTCCCTCCTTCTCATCTGACCGTGTGCTCCTGTTGCTCATCATCCTCTGAGCATCAATGATGCAAAAGCATCAAGAGCAGCAAAAGACTACCCATTACCCTATTGCCAGAAATAAGAGTTTCTTTCACATCACCTGACCAACTGAGGAGGCTCACAGATGGCTCCAACAAGTGCAAGAGTTGGCAGAGGGAAGGAGATGCATCACACAGGAGAAGGAAAGAATAAAGGTAAATGAAACCTTCCTCTTTCAGCAACAGTGACCCATTACAGGCTCAGTTGATGATAAGCTTTGGCTGACACGTGTTAAGGTGCAATCACACAATTAGCTGTCAGATCTGAAGAGCTGCTACCAAGACACAGCAAGCTGCAACCTCCTGAGCCAGCACAGTAGCAGCTGGAAGAGGACAAACAATTAGGACCTTCCTTCGGGTGTGGTGTAGTGGTGATTGCAGCAAACCACCCTAACAGCTTGCTGCCTCTGAGATGGGAAATCCCACCCTCCAGTCCTCTGCCTCACACTCCTCCCTGCTGACAAAAGCACTTGTGTGACTTCTCAGACAGAGGATTAGACTGAGAACTAGTCTTTTGTTTTCCAGGTTTTGATTCCAACCAAATAGATTTCCAGACTCAGCTGACTGCAGGAGCATTACTGCCAGCACAAAGCAGAAAGGGACTGCAATGAAGCAAATTAACCTCCACGAAAGTGTCTGGTGAAACTTTATTTTGCACAATAAATTTTCTGCAGATCTACTTCAACTAATATACCATAAACAGGATGACTGGCAAGAGAAAGAGTAGGGATGTTTATGTAGGACCACAGCAACACAAACTTTGATCATCCTAAACTGATCCTGGAACCACATCCTTACACTGCAAGAAACAAGCAGTGTCCATCTAAATGCTATGGGTTGTTCTGGTTTTTAAAAACAGGTTTTCACTAACTTGGCTCTACTAATTCAAAGCATTGCAGCTGTTTAAAAAATAATGACATCTTTCCCAGTGTGAAATTACTGTCTCCATACAAAAGAATGCTCTTCTTTTGCAGGTTAAGAGTTGTTTTTACGTTCTAAAAATACATGAAACAGTGTAAATACCCTGTTATGAATACACTGTGCTGATGATTCAGGTTTTTAACACATATTCCAAAAGCCCAGATTTGGAATAGCACTTCAGAACATTTTCTTCTGTCTGCTCTTCTTCCAAACCTTTCATTTAACAGACAATCAAAACACTTGCAAGACTATGCTCTATCAATGAAGTGCTTGGAAACCTGACTGGCAGATACAATACACAGTCCATGTTCCTCTAATTACAGCAGCAGTATGCATTAGTAAGGGCCAAGTACGAAAAAAAGCCCAGGTCCTCTGCGTGCTACAAGGAAATGATGCATCTGTTAAAGCCACAGAATAATGCCACAAACCAATTACAAGTTTAGTCTTGCCAGCACAGCTAGGTATAACCTGATTTGAAAAGCATTAGTTCTCAGAATCTCAAAGTCTAGCATCTTGAAACTTCTTCCACAAACCAACAATTTTATTAATTACATAAATAATGTACACTGTATGGAGTATTGTGAGACTAATCACAATGGAAAGGGATTTAATGCGTTGCATAGACTTGAGTAGCAGGTTGTTAAAAATGTTATTTTTAAACCAAAATGTCCCTGTCAGAGGAGGTAATTGTAGTGTTTTTCTGCTAAGTGTGTCAAGTAGCAAGGAGGAGTATATTTTTGGTGTTGTAAATCCTTTAAAAGCTGGCAGATTGCCCTACCATAGTGCCTAAGCATGTATCACAAGGGAGGAGCAGTAGTCAGCTGACTTCAGGGTAGGGAGAAAACCAAACTGAGGAAAAAACAAGGCAGAACTTTAAGCCCAACTACAATTCAGCTGGTTTAATAAATAAATAAATAAATAAACAAATTTGCCTTTATAAATTTAAAAGGTAATGCTGAATACTTAATGTTTTCTCTGCACAGTTTTCATCTTTGGTCTGTAACTATTTTGATCTGTGTATCTTAATGCATCAAAAAATGGGAACATTGTCTGATTTTTTAAACTTCAATATTCCTAAGTTAGCAAACAAGTATTTTAACATAGTTCATGCAATATAAAATTCTTTTTCCTTCTTCATGAGGTTTGTGAAAGGCAGAGACCTTAAGGGTAGGGAGGGAAGCATGATAACGTAATTATGGTCTTATATAACTATCGTATCATGGTAATACTTTGCAATACAAACTACATTACTTTAAACATCACTTTCTGTATTTAATCCCGTTCCTATGTTCAGTGCATTTAAAGTCACCAAATCATTTTGATTTACCCACTTTTAAAACTATTACACCCATAAATTTTATCTAATGAAATGATACCTGTTCATTCAAATAATCATATTTCAATTTCCAATTACTAGCTTCTGATTATGCCTTTCTGTGCTACTTTTGGTACTTGAATATTTTTTCTCTCCTTTTCCAGCTTTTTTTACTGTTTCCATTTTTCCCCTAAATCCTTTCAAGCAAATGTGCTCATCTCCTAAGGATCTCAGTACAAAGGATGTTCTCCAGGTTCTGAATTACTTCCGTAGATCTTTTCTGCAGTTGCCAATTTTTTAAAGTGCCAAATACCACAATATACCATTAATATACAAATAATACAACCTACCTTTCCTCTAAATAGTTGACTTTGTTAGCTGATTTTTGTATTTGGTTGTTTTTTTCTCAAACCAGACTATCATCCTAAGACAGAAACTTGTGAGGATATATTTGCCTCGTATGACTCCACATGCTTTAGAGAGACAGTTTGCAAGATACCATAACCAAAGAATAAATATATAATTATTCATTTTTCTCCCCAAAAGCTAAGCAATAATTCTTTACTGTGAACCATTTTATCTATCCCAGTAATTGTAATTTACTACTTAGATTTTCTGCCATATTACAAACGTTATATCAGACAGGATTTATATATTTAGTTTTTCAATCACTGACAAAAATACAGAGTATGCTGTGGCTGTTCTGACTCCTACAGAATTTCCCTAAGACGACAGTAGTCAGTAATACATCTTGTTATTGAAAATTACTTCTGAGTTCTACTAGTTTTTAATCTACTCAATAAAGACTTCTGTATGGCAGGGTGCTAGTTTGAATTCCAAATACTGTGGCATTTTGCTGAAAATTCAACAAGTCTCTTTTATGCAACAGCGTATCAAGGTACACAGATATGGTTTTGTGCAATTCTGATAAATGAAGGCAACAGCCAGCCCCTAAAGTTATGTCCAAGGGTTAAACATTGTTTTGCACAGAAATAAAGTAGCTAGTATTAACTAATGTATTTGAGCACATACAACTTCCCCCTTTTACATGTACTCGCAGAATAGCATTCTTCAATATCCATCCTTGTTGGAAAGCTTGTACAAAGCTAGCAAAGTGCTGGTAGAAGCTGGTACTCCAAGGAGAGAGAGGCTCCAGTGTATACCTTCCTTGTATTCATCACACTTTCAGCAGCAATACGAGTTATATGCACCAGAGGTGAGGGATGATGTACTCATTACCTTGCCTTTTAGATCACAGGTTATATATTTCAAAAATAAAAACAAAAGAACTGAAATCTACCCCATCAACTGAATTTTTAATCAGTTTTTCCTTTATTTTGTCCGAGTTTTCAATTTGATTCGCCAACATAGTCACTTGAGTCTTTCCGTTCCTTAAATTTTGCTGAAGTAGCATTTTTTTCACCATCTTTTTAGAAATGCACACTATTTCAGCACTTTTTAAAAAGAAGTATCAGTATACAAAAGATCTTGCAAGGAAAATCTAAGAATTCCTGAATTTAACCTATTTGGGCTTAATTTAAAATATTTATGGCTAACAAGAAAAGTTGATGAATAATTTTTCATTCTTTGAGTAAATATGTTTTTCTTAAAGTATGCGAACCAAGTACATTCACAGACTTCTTGTAGGGGGGGAGAAGGGGACTGCATTGTCAGCAACAGTTCAGCAGTCTCCATTTAGCATCAAACCCTATTATTAGAACATTTTATTTCTATTACATTAAAAGGTGTGTTATTCTGAACTCTAATAATTACAGATTAAAAGATACGAAGACAAAAAAGGACTTCCTGTATTAATTTCTGTGCCCAACTCCACTGCATGAAGTTACTTAGCTACCTTTCAGATCACTATATACTAGTGGTATTGTTTGTATGATGCCACTGATGTAAGCCCTGGAGAATGTTTACTCATTTAATTCTGGCATGCTGACAACAGCAAATACATCTCTGATGAATCTTAAGGAATTTTCAAGGAGAAAAACTTCCTTAGCTCCAAAACTTTCTCCCTTACAGGTCCTTGAGATTCACTGCAGTCAATAGAACGTTCTCCAAGAGCAGCCGTGTGAATTACTACATCAATGAAAAGACACCTAAACATAGAAAACTTCTCACTATTACTGATCAAATTAGTAAAAGGGAGATAGATTTAACGTAAAAAAAAAAAATCACATTTATAAAAAATACATATATTTAGAAAAGCAACAAATATTTCACTAGAGACTCTTCATACCTTAAGAGATCAGATAATGTCATTGGTTCTCTCAGCCAGAGTAATGCCATGTAACAGAATGAAAGGGTCATTGGCATTGTCATCCTCAGTTTCTCCTTTTGGTTCTTCTTTAAATACAAGCTACCATCTACCGATCCAGAGCACAGAGAGGTGCTTTCTTGGGTTTATGTTAAAAAGGAGAGGGGAAAAAAAAAAAGGAATTGATATGATGTAAACGTGATTCATGGTATACAGAAAACAAGATAAAAGGCACATAAAAGTACCCTTGTTCAGCTGTTATTAACATTTTGAAATCATTACTTTGAGTACTTGGGTAGTTTGTGTACTTTTCTACTAAACAGCTTAACTCTAATTTATTTGCCTATCATGATATGAGATGATAGCCTGTTTCATAAACTGCTATTCACCTCATGAAGACACTGGACAAAACTCCCTCTGGTACCCACCAAAACAGACCTTTTGTTAGGACCCACACTTGAAGCTGGAGTACTTCCGCTGTTGTGGAGTACGCCTCCACAACATATAACTAACACTACTTATGAGCTGAAAATACTATTTTCTATTTGAGTGATAAGTGAACAGTGGAGAAACAAGGGAAAATTTTATGTACTTAAATCAATACCTCAGAGTTAGGGATTAAAGCACAGAGTTTTAAACTTCAGCACAGTCAGGACTTTAACAAGAGAATTATTTACACTGCAGGAATTTTACTGCGGTTAAGGTATGTATCCATGTGCCTTATAATCTCTAACTGTGGAAATGTAGATATTATTAAAAAAAACCCCCACATATCTAAATACAGCGAAAAAGAAACGCCATCAGAACAAAAATGTAGTAAGTGGTGAAGAGGGTGGAAAAAAAACAAACCCAACCAACCAACAACCAACAAAACCTCCCTATTACTGATCACTAAAAATTAAGAGAAGCAGCAGTAAGAAATTTAATTTAATAGAGTGATTTACAAGTTGGAAACCTTTTCAGCAGTGAAACTTGGGAACTCAGGGAAGGAGGAAGTATAAAAAAGAAAAGTCTCTCTTTCCTACAGCACTACCCAGCCAGGATGAAGGAAAATGAATTTAAAGCATACCAGCACAAAACATCACCATTAATTCTGTAGAGATTTCCTCACTGTGTTTCCCCACAGACTGTTCACCTGTTCAGACAGGAACACCCAGGGCTGGATCTACAGCTCCCCAGCTGGGAGCTGCAGGGCCATGGCAAGCAGCCTGCAAAAAACTGCTTAAGACTTTGGAGAGGCTGGCAGCTCCGTGGTCACGCTGGCAGGTGACAGCCAAGCCCGTAAGGTGCCAGTGGTCAGTGATAGAGGTCCAGTGGCCACCGACATGAAGCATGAAGTCACGCCAAATACTGTGATCCTGAGCCAGAATTGGTCTTTGATGCCACCTACCGGCTCCTAAAACGGCAGCCAGCAGCACTACGGACACAGCAACAGGTTAAAAGAACCAGTGCAAACGTACAACTTGCACAGACTAGGACAAGGTCTAGATGAGAGCATCCTATGAGGTCTATCACGTAGGTGCGTCAGAGAACAAAAGCAAGAACATCAGTTAATCCTTTTAGTCAACAGTTTCACCTTTTACATGGATACTTTGTGCTTAAAGGCAGCTTCATGGCTGAACCTTCATTATTAATTTCACATTCTACTCAATTTAAAATAATCCTCATTATATTTGTGGCCTTAATAATGGAACACAATTTCCTTTTATTTCTTCCAGCTTATGCAAGGCATGACAACACACAGTTACACACATCTAATAATTTAAGAGTTTAATAGGCTTCTCTAGCAACATCTCAGTGCTACAGTTTGCTATTATCCCTACACAAAAATAACAAAAAGCTTGCTAGTTGGACAAGCCTCTTAAGGATAAAAAGGGTGTTGAGGTTTCCAGTCTGTAGCAATAACAGCTCAGTAGAAACAGCACAGAAATGGAAACTTACGAATCTTCACAAGAATTTCTAATTAACTAGAACACATTTAGCATTACTTGTGTTACATTTGAATACACAAAACAACTTCTATGTTTGTTTGATTTACCAAAATATACTTTTAGTGTCACTGAATGTGCTGAACTCTTAATTCATTTCAAGTGCTTTTATTGGTATGACTACTTAACAGCTGAATCCAATCTCTGAAACAACAGACCAAGAACATATTAAATTATGGCCTTTCTTAACACTGTCCAGCAATTCTGAAAAGCTAACAGTGTGACTATAAAAGGCACAAGCACCAAGGAAGAAAGGAGTCCCTCCAGGCATCTAAAAGGTAAGGAAACTCCATAGAATATTTTCACTAGAAATTTTTCCACTCAATTCTTTCCTCTGTATGTAATTTTCCTGTAAAACCCAAGATCTGCTACAGGTACAAACAAACAGTGACTCTTATCTGAAAATTGTGTTGTTTTAACACATAAGGCTGAGAGGTGCTTGCATTATACTCAAAAAATTTGTGTCACCATTTTCCCACTTTTCCCCCCCGTTTGGATTTTTAAAAGTTTTTTAATTTTACTTGCTGCAGATCAAGTTTCTTATTCTATTACCATTTCTGGCCTTTACAAATGAAGAGAACATGAAACAAAAAGACTGTAGTCTTCTGAGGGTAGACAGGCAGTATCATAGAAGAACAGAAATGGGACATAAAGAGGATAGATAGTACATAACAGGGGAAAAACACTGAAACAAAGAAGGAAAAGGCAAGCAAAGAATAAAGCAAAAAAAGAAAAACCATCAGAAGTTTAAAAAGCAAACAAAAGCTTTCAAATATGCCTTGAAATGTATTTCCAATATCAGACATTGGAGCTTTGTCTGGCATTACACTTGCCCAGTAGTACCAAATCACTCCAATATTCTAGAACACTTTTAAATTAAAATGTTTAGCATTCTATAAATATTTTCAAGTTGAGATTGTGAACAGAAAGGAGAAACTGATGAAATAGGGTTATAAGGAAAGCAGTAAAAAGAAAGTAGTAAAAAATGAAGGTCTGATCCACAGAGACCTTGACACACTTGTGAGGTGAGCCAATGCCAACCTCATGAAGTTCAACAATGACAAGTGCAAGGTCCTGTGCCTGGTCAGGGCAATCCCAGGCACAGCTACAGCCGTCCTGTGAAGAAGGACCTGGGGGTGTTGGTCAATAAGAAACTTAACATGAGCCGGCAGTGTGTGCTCACAGCCCAGAAGAAGGAGGTGATCCTGCCCCTCTGCTCTTGTAAGACCCCCCTTGGAGTACTGTTTGAAGTTCTCTTGTCCTCAACATACAAAGGATATGGAGCTGTTGGAGCAAGTCCAGAGGAGGGCCATGAGGATGATCATGGGGCTGGAGCACCTTCTGGATGAAGACAGGATGAGAAAATTGGGGCTGTTCAGCCTGGAGAAGAGAAAGCTGCGTGGAGACCTCATAGCAGCCTTCCAGTATCTGAAGGGGGCCTATAAAGATGCTGGGGAGGGACTATTCATTAGGGCTGTAGCTATAGGACAAGGGATAACGGGTTCAAACTAAACCAGGGGAAGTTCAGGTTAGATATAATGAAGTTCTTTACTGTGAGGGTGGTGAGGCACTGGAACAGGTTGCCCAGAGAAGTGTAAATGCTCCATCCCTGGCAGTGTTCAAGGCCAGGCTGGACAGAGTCTTGGGTGACACGGTCTAGTGGAAGGTGTCCCTGCCAATGGCAGGGGAGTTGTAACTACATGATCTTAAGGTCCTTTCCAACCCTAACTATTTTATGATTCTATGAATGTAGAGACATAAGATACAGAAGTACCAAAATATACTGGCATAAAATTAGAAAGCTAACTGTAACTATGGGATAGAAAAAAAAGAACCCCAAACAAACAACAAATAAACAAAAAACCTCAAACAACAACCCTCTCCCCCAAGAACCAAATCATGTTTTTTTAACATCAAAGTCATGACTGACAGCTCTGCTATTAGTTAAACAACCACCTGTTCTTTAAAGCTGCTGTTTGTGAACATATAGCTTTGCAAATACAATAGCATTTTTTTTTCCCACCGCAAACAGGAGGTATGGCACAAACTTGTTGTAAAATAAAACTTTCTCCTGCATTTCCCATTGTATTTCTAGGTCATGTTCAACTTTCATCTCCTTGGGTGGGCTTTGGGAGGAGGCAAAGTCTTCTATTTCTGGTAGAATATAAAGTACCCTAGTGGCAAACAGTACTGAAAACTCTACAATTTGCAACCAGTTACTCCAATGCATTCTACATGAATATACTTTATATATATTTCTATTAAAAAAACTATACAAAATTATTTCCAGATAGTCAAGTTCCTTGCTCCTACCTGAGACCTTGCTAGTTGATGAGGCAAAGCTGTTATCAGTCTGTAGATCCCCTTCACTTTCAGAGAGGGACAGCAAGTGAAGAATGCTAGATCTTTCTGGGTCACTGTCCACATCAGTACTACTATCACATACCTAGGATTTGTAAATAAGTCATTGTATTATTGTCAGTGACTGTTTCAATCTGAAGAAACCAAATAAAACATGATAGATAAAAGTTAAACAGTAAATGAAGTTTAAACTCCAACAGCTCACATTTTTCCTTTTTCTGTGAATCAGCAATATATAAAGAAACCCTGCAAAACCCCTTATTTTTAAAGGATTTCTCAAGATAAAAAGATTTCCGGTGATGACATTACGTTTCTGTCTGTTATAATGACCAAAAAGTTGGCAGTACATAGAATCAAAGCTTCATGAAACAAGTGATATCAAGAGAGCAGGCAGGTAAGGATGGTAGCTGATGATACATTTTGTATTATAATTTCTGCTGTACCTACTGACTCGCTATGCCAAGGCAAAGCAGTATTTTTAAATATGCAGTTTTCCATACTCAGACAAGTATCTGTCTCTCAAAATAGGAAAGAAAACCAAACAAACCAAACCTAACAACAAAATGGACATGTGAAACACTGTTTAGAAGACATCCTTCATACTGAAGTGACATGAATGCCAGCCAGATATGTAGCTTGAACAAACAAGGATTCTGCTGTTGCTTTTCGAAAAGATACCAAATATCTCATGGGATTTGAGCTTTTCACTTACTGATAATGCTTTGACAGTTTCCCCAGCTGATTGGATGCAATATGCCTGTTTGCTCTTCTGAAGGTAACACCTCCAAAAATTACATAGAACTTCATCCTGATAAATACAAATGGACAGTGATTAGTACAATGTTTACAAGATCGTTGATTGCTGAAAGAACAGAGCATAATTTCTAACTCAGCTTTAATTTTATTAACTGTGATTTATAAACTGTTTTAAAATTACCAGAGAAGCAAAGTTTATTTTCATATGCTCAATGTTTTTAAACAGGGAGTTGCTCCATTTACTTTAAAAATTACAATCTTTTAAAATGACTCCTCCTGTAATGCACATCCAGTGTGCACAACTCACACCAACACCTTCATACCTTCATTTGTGGACATACTCCTAATGCTTCTAAAGCTTCAGCTTGTTTCTTGAGTACGAGCTGAAAGCCTTCACAAACATACCATTCACAGCCTCCATCTAAATTAAAAAAAAAAAAAGTGTTTTATTTTTATTGTTTGTACTGGTCTGTGGGTTTTTTTTAACCTTACGTACACTTAGTTCCACTTAATATTCTGATCTCTTGGTATCAGGACAGAGACATGTCTCTCTAATAATTTATTTCAGATCCTAGAGCAGAGACCAGCCACACTGAATATACTCCATTAACTCCCATTTATTCACAGTCTTAATCAAGAAGAAAAGCTACTGAACAAGCACAGTTCTCCACGTTTCCCAAGAACAACATATTTCACTATAACTTCTAGTGTGGCATTTGTAGTCAAGTGGAGAGTGGTTAAGTGACCAGTTTTAAAGTAACTGAGAACCTGTCATTAAAGTGAAATACAACTCCTTTCCCATCCCTTCGCACAGAAAGCTGGAATACATTACGGTGGTGAGTCAGCCAAAATACAACCAATATCACCACAGTCTTCACCATTCTTTCCCACCCAATCATACACATTTAAATGAAAGAAACCTCTTCAGATATTCCAAGCTTCTAGCACAACATGAATTTCCTAAAGGGCAGGCCTGCTCCAACCTATACACTATTCTCTTGGATGGTGTTACATTTAGTTTTCACCCTTACCTCTCTGTATTTACAACTCCTTTTCTACAGGCTTTTGTTTTTAGAAATTTCTGTCCATTTCCCAACTTCCTTTTCATTCCTTCCATAGCTCTTTTTCATTATTTTTTTCTTCCAATCATGCCTTGCATCTCACCACCTTAGAAGTTAACTACACAAATCTTGTGCTCTGCTTTAATGATGTTGGCTTTAACTATTAACCACAGATACAGCTGACTCCTATAAATGCATGAAAATAAGGTGCCACAGCATAATTTAATTGCACCCACAGAAAGGACTGTGTGAAGCTAAGGATTTCTTTCTTAAGAAGCTTGGGGGATGGCTAATGAAACAGTGCACAGCTCAGACTTCAAGAGTAATACAGGATAAAGACAAGTGGAGGTGTTACAGTTGTTCCGCTTTTTACTCTTCACTTCCATACAGTTGTTCTCTTTGAATGAATGTAGTAATCCACTGGCACCACAGCAGAGGGAAGACAGATCAGCATATCAGAGACAAAGACAACCCAGTGCTTCATTTAGCATTGTAATGCATTTCTGCTTTTTGAAAGTGGCCACAACAGTAAAACATCTACCTAGCCACAACAGGACACATACCTAGCTCCAGCAGCAGCCTTACCATAACTTATCCTTATGGCATATATCATCATACATAATGACTACTATTCTTCTGAATCATTAAAAGTATAGAAATTACTCTGGATAAAAGATGTAAAATTGGTTTAGCTATTGTAACTGCATGAAATCTCTTCCATGTAGGTTTGTGTATGGGTTACAGGGCCAAGTACCTGTACCGCAAGCCAGACTGACAAGACATTCTCTGAGCTGGACCACCATCACATCTCCCTTATGATGACAGACAACTCTTCTGGTTTTGTGATTGCCATCACAAGGAAGGAACAAAGGGATGACCACATCTAAATGCACACCACCATTATCTTTGCTGAGTATTGACTTCCACACATCAAAGTGGCAATAAGAGGCACAGGGCTCTGTTATATCAAAAAAAAAAAACAACCCCAAAATCCACCATCAGGCTCACAGAGGTCACCTGTAGCTCATGAAGTCACCAAAATGTGACTACTGAAGGTTTTGACAGCATCTGGGGTTTGCATTTTGTTTCTGTTCTTACAGTCTTTCCTAGCTATCTGCTTTTGGTCACCATCAAAGATATAATAGGCTAGGTAAACCCTGACTGAGCAGTGACTCTTATGTAAAATACAGAGATAAATTCATACATACCATTTTTTTCCTGCTTTTTTGAACCTTTGGAGATTGTCTGGACTCTTGTGTTAGTAATAAAATCAGTGTTTACAACTTCTCTAGTTATCTGCAAAACAGGAATATACCTTAGCAAGAAAAAAAACCCAGGCCTAACTTGCATAGATTGCCCCTTCATAAAACACAATCAAGGAACTTGTTCAAATTTCCTAAAGTAAAGGGAGACAGAACATTCTGAACTTCTCATTCAAAAACTGCAAAAACAGAGAATTATTATCCTGGACATATAGGGACATACATCGGGGTTTGCCTACCCTGGTACTGTATGAAAGTTCGGCAGTACCCAGGCAATACTTCCAAGGCATCTAGATAGCATGCTGGTACTATGGCTATAGCAACACAGCATTTGAAAATGGCTCATTTTAAATCTTGTGATTTTGAGGAACATTAGTTTTAAACAGTGACAAGTAAAGCATGAAAAGGAAGAACTGCAACACTGCCTTCAACTTCTAATGCCAAGGAGAAAAATCTTAAGATTTTTTAACATAAAACCAAGAAGCAATCAAAATGAACCTTTTCCAAGACCAGTAGTTTAGTTTTTGTTTTTTTTTACCTCAGTAACATTGTGGCAAGATCTGCAGTAAAATCTGCCTCCATCAGTGAGACCCCAGTTCACTTCCGAACACTGGGCACAGCGTTCATTAAAATCTCTCTAAGAGGGAAAAACACAAACAGTTTCACATGCGTTCAAGTAAAATAAATAGTGTTTTTACTAGGCTTTGGAGATTATTCATACATAATATTTATGCCCTTTATGTTAGCTCTGGTTGATAAAAAGTAATCATAGCATTTTCTGTCAGTCATTGATAACTGTGAACAAATAACTTCAGCTGGCAAGCATCAGCTCTTGTGTATGCGAGCATTAGAGCAAGGGGAATAACGCATGACATGGGTTGATAAAAGCCACCCATCTGAAACGGAAGCAGAAACAAGAAAGTAGAGAGCAGGACACGAAAGAGAAAATAACTAGAACTATGAGGGAACATAAGCAGTGAAGAAAGCCTGCACAAGTGGGTGAGAAGATACGCCGGGAGAGACTTCAGAAGCACCCACATGAACGAGATGGGCAGCTCTCTTCCGGCCCCCCACAGAACCCCAGCCGCGCAAAGCACCCGCCACAGCCGGCTGTTAAGCACCAGCGCTGCAGCTGCCGTACCGAGGGGTCCGGCTAGGGACCTGCCCGCCGCTCTAGGCCCCGACCGTGCCCGGCGGCAGGACGGGACGGGACGGGGCGGGGCAGGGCCGGGCTGGGGCAGGCAGCGCCCAGCGGCAGCTCAGCTCTGCCGCGGAGCAGCCAAGCTCCTCCGGACCTGCTCCCCCCAGGGCCGCAGCCGCTGAGCGCCCGGCAGAGAAGCGCCTCCCACGCAGCTGCAGCCGCCGCGCTCCGCCAACCCCCTCCGGCCCAGCGAAACCAACCACCCCCACCGTTCCCTGCGCCGCGGAGCCGCCCGACCCCCACCGTGGCTTCCTCGTCCATGCCGGCAGCCGCCCCGGGGCCCGCACCGTGGCAACCGCGCCGAGCGCCGACACCGCGGCCCGGCCTGGAAACGGCAGCCCTGGCACTTGAGTTCCGCGCCCGCCGCGGGGCCGGGCATCCCCGGCCTCTCGATTAGTCAGGCCTGCTGCCGGCTGGGAGACCGCAACCCATCCCCTCTCCCCGTCCCCAGAGTTCTCGGCGGGGCGGCTGAAGTGTGCTGAGGGGTCTCTGCCTGAGGTGGTGCGGCGGGGGGAACTGCGTGCCTTCGCCCGTCTCAGTGGCTCCGGGGCACATGGGTGCTTGTTTCTGAGGGGACATAGGTGCTTCACCTCAAAGGACATTGCAGATGTAATTGAGGGGACATGGGTGTTTCACGGGGGTAAGAGGTACTTCACTGAGGAGACATGAATGCTTCACCTCACAGGGAACATTGGGTGCTTTACTCAGGGGACACTAGAGAGCTTCGCCTCTGAGGGGGCAGAAGCCCCTCATCTGTGAGGGGACATAGGCTTTTCACCTCAGGGGAGACATTGCAGACGTCACTGGGGGGGGGGGGGGGGGGGGGGCACGGGTGCTTCAAAGGGACGTGGAGTGATCACAGAGGAGACGTGTGCTTCACCTCTGTGGGGACATGGGACCCTTCCCCACTGCAGTATCCTCGGGACCAGAAGGGACACATGCCCCTCCAGCCCCAGACCCCTGCCATGCCTCTGCACTGAGCTCCTGCGTCCTCACCCTCGGTTGTACACACAGCAGGCGACTGTTGAGCCTGTGCCGAAGCTGGTGGAAGGGGAACTTTATGAAAAGTGCTTCCAGATCCTTAAATGAGAGAAACTATCATCTGAAATTCACTTCCAATTAAAAAACCCAGACCTCCAGATCTTGATGTAGGTCTCTAATTTCTTGCACGCTAATAATAATGTTTAAAGATGTCTAAACGCGGAGATCTGTTATTGCAGTGAATTTGCCCACAAAATTGGAGAACAGGTTTAGGCCCCTTTAAAAAAAAAAAAAAAAAAATCCACTAAGTGAAATCATGGGAAAAAATTAAAGCTAAAATATACATAGAAAGAGGTGAGGCTGCCTTGACAGCTGTGGTTACATTGATGTTGGAGGATATGTACAGAGCTAGAGGGGAACTGTTTATGTTCAAGAAAAAAATTATTACTCATACCAACTGTGATCTTTTTTCAGTGTGGGATGAACATTTGTAACGCCCATTAAAGAGAATTACGCATATAATACCTAACGTTAAAAAGGTGATTGTCAAACTCACAGAAATGTAGCTAATACTTTGATGAAACAGATCCTACTTGTGATTCTAATTTCCATTTTTTTTTTTTTTTGTGGAAATATTGTTCTGGGAAAGCAAGGCCATTTCTTGTGACAGAAAGAGTTTGATCTTCTCCTAATGAATTTCTAAGATTAAATACTACTTTGAAGAAAATCAGGGTAGCTGTATCTGTGATGAAACAGAAAGAGTTGAGTTCCAGTTCAGAAGATAAGGCGTTGCTCCTACTGAGAGTAGGGTTTATTGTGTGGCTCAGCGTTGTGAGCAGGCAAGGGCTCTGCTCAGTGGGTTTAACTATATTGAATAACTTGTTTAAATTAAACATGGAGGAGACTGTTTTGATGAGGATGGACCTCAGATTTAGGTCTTCTGTTTTCTAATTACAGCTGGTCAAAAAATATGAAAGAATGTGTAATCACAAGATTCTGCCAGTTTGTCAAAACCAGAACACATCATATTTGATGGCAGCAGTTGAAGATAAGCAAGAAAAGAAGAAAAGTGCAGGTGACTGCAGAGGTAACTATATTGGTGTGATTCTGGGCATACTGGTGTAACATGCCAGTGAAGTTTTAGAACAGGCAAGAACTTACTCTATGGTTTTGCACAACTCATGCTACTTCTCTGAGTTCTGTTTTCCATGCAGGTGGAACAGAGATAGGAAAAGTTACTGAACTTTGGAAGGGAAGTTGTACAAAGACCAATACTGATTTACTAGTTACTTACTATTATCCAGGCTGTATATAAATGCAAAGCTTCTATCAGTATTTCTGAAGACCATCAACTAATTAGTGCACAGTAGTAATCTAGTAGCAAAAAATCAAAGCATAATAGGGGTAGCAAGTCTTATATTTATTTCTTAAATATTTTTTTGAAATGACATGTGTAAAACCGGTTTTTCAGCATATAAAATTATGGGTAACCTTTGTCCCTAATTACAAGTTACCCAAGCATACTGATAGGGGTATGATAATTTCAAAGCCAGGAGACAGACTGTCTTCCTGCTTGGGCTCACTTTTCTAATTAAGATCATTATGCATAGTAGTCAGATTGATTCGAGGCTTAGATAAATAATACATCCTGTTGTTTCCATTGATTTGAATTTTTAATGAACTGAGTTCCATTGCTGATACCACATTTCTGGCTCTTGACTGAAGCCTTTCTACATGTGAAAATGTAAAAACGACGTATTGGACTGAAAGACATGTCCCTTGGCTTATCCTTTGGGATATTGTTCATGAAATTGTGCTGGCTCCAGGATATGAACTTCCATAGCAGAGATTCTCCCCAGAGTCCTTGCCCATTGTCAGACACCTACTACAAAGAGAGCAGAAAACCAACCTCAGCTCCTCTAGGGATTGTGCAGATGAACACAGGGCAGATCTACTAGATTCCAGTTGGTATTAGCACCCACAATTTCATGTTTGCACCATCTCTCCATGGAATAAATCATGTTTAAAGACAGAAAACAAAGGGCACATTAGAAAACCAAGAAGCAGGTGGCTTTGCTCTAACTGACCTTGAGAACAGACCACACTAAGAAAGGGTCACGGGGAAAACCTATGCCAAGCAGACATGCGGTGGAGGCAAAGGTGCAGAGAATTGTGTAAGGAGCCAGCAGGAGAAGGAACAGGAGGAGATGGGAACAGCAGTGAAGCACAGGGGTTGCAGCGAGATTGGCAGGGGAGGATAACTAGGGAGCGGCTGAGCTCAGTGGAGCTTTGAAGGAAGCGACAAGAAGAATGAATTTATCGTTACAGCTTCGACACACCCAGCATTGCCTTGTGATACTGTTTATTATACAGATTCAGCTCTCAAGTTTTCTCTTTTTAAATCCATATCTACCCCTCCTGTGGAAAACCTGAAAATATTACCTCAAATATCCAAAACAACAGAAAGCAGCAAACTTCTTTTCTCAAAGTTTACTTGGGTTTTCTTAAGATGTTCTTAGTATGTGAGCAGCATGAAATTGAAATTTTGACTACCAAAAGCAGCAATACCGCACCCAGGAACAGAGTGCAGGCTCATCCAGTCTTACACACTGAGGTGGGGTTTATGCCACCAGCTTTTGCTTTGCACATGGGCTGCAGCCCAGCCTGTCTCACACAGGCACATTGCAGTGCCGCAGTCTCATTCCAGTTTCGCCTGTGATTCTCCATGCCACAGAGAGCTGGTAATTGTGATGATCACCCATCCAGGGGTGTTTGGAGACAACAGACCACAGGGGAGGACCTCACATTCAGATCAGCTGCTCCAGGAGGTAAAACTCTTTGGCTTCAACATCCTTATCTGATCCGAAGCTATGCTAACGTGGTCAGTAATGAAGTGATTTTGAGAGTTCTGCCTGAGGATGCTGAAATCCTGTCTGGAATCAAGTGAAGACCTCATTGTGGGTCCTGGCCTTCAAAGGCAGGATCTCTTTCCCGAGGAGCACCAAGCTACTATCTCATTGTTCATACTAGCAGAGGTTGCACCCTTCAGTACCTGGTGACTCTGTTAATCTGATCATACAGAGATACAGAGTAGGTGAAGAAAAATTCTAGGAAAGAAAGTGATCTTTAGGCTGGAAAAGTTGGGGCTGTTCAGCCTGGAGAAGAGAAGGCTGTGTGGAGACCTCATAGCAGCCTTCCAGTATCTGAAGGGGGCCTATAAAGATGCTGGAGAGGGACTCTTCATTAGGGACTGTAGTGATAGGACAAGGGGTAACGGGTTCAAACTTAAACAGGGAAAGTTTAGATTGGATATAAGGAAGAAGTTCTTTACTGTAAGGGTAGTGAGGCACTGGAATGGGTCGTCCAGGGAAGTTGTGAATGCTCCATCCCTGGTGGTGTTCAAGGCCAGGTTGGATAGAGCCTTGGGTGACATGGTTTAGTGTGAGGTGTCCCTGCCCATGGGATGGGAGTTGGAACTAGATGATCTTAAGGTCTTTTCCAACCGTAACTATTCTATGATTCTATGATTCTATCTTAGCAGCCAAAAAGGAACAGAGCAGGAAGTGGGTGTTTTAATGTCCCATTTCATATTCCAGGCATGTATAATGCTTTTTTTTTTTTTTTCTCCTTTTTGCTTTACTGAACAGCTAACATGAAACATTCCTTCAAGTTATACTTTAATAGTGTCAAACTTTCTCTAGCTTTATGGAAAGAAAAATACAGACCATACTAAAGGGGATCTTGGGTTCCACTATGGTGTTGTGCGTCTGTAGAGCCCTGAAGATTGTTCTTGAGATCACTCTTGGATGTGTTTAATCCAGAAGCGCAGTGGTATTTTTAAAGGAATTGAGAGCCACCTTGTGGAGCTGGGATTCAAGAAGGGGCTCCAAATAGTACTGATGGGAATAGCTACTCACTGCTAGGAATTCAGATCCAGTGGGATCCTGGAGGCTGTTAATCTCATAAACATGTACATGTCTGCACATATTCAGTAAGTGCACAGTACATCACATAGTTCCTCTGCTGACTAAAACTGGGCAGCAAAGAAATAAATACTTGTGGGCAGTGGCAGGCAGGAATGTAAAGCTGTCAGAAAAATGCAGAAAGCAGCAGAATCAGGGAAGCAAAGAAATACTCATTACATCCTACACAGCCTTGGTGGAAAGGTGGTGGTGCTCATGGGGCATTTTTCACCATATAATTAATTAAGTCCTCAAAAGTGCTGGTAAGTTTTGGAATCATTGTGTGTAGATTTCTGCCACACATTTATTTTCTTCTGCAGCCATTCATTAACATCAAGAATTAGGATTGCCAGAGCCCAAATACAGCCCCATGCCATGTAATCAGAGAAATACCAAAGATGGGATCAACCATGGACATAATCCATAACTGGAAATATTCACCAGTCATTGTTCCTGTGTAGAAGTAAAGAGTAGTC